GCAAGCCTTGTATTGTGATGATTAATACCCTTACATCTGATAAAATGTTTGTCATGTTTTCATTTAATTTCAAGTGTCTTGTCCAGATGCCTTTTGATTATGCTGATGTTGAGTGGAACAAAGTGAGGACTGCATGTCTTCTATGTGCCTGGCATGGATTCAGCAGAGCTGGACATTTTCAACCATGGAGCAGTTACAAGACCTGAAAATTGGGAAAAAAGTCCTTGTTGCAACACAATCTTTAATCCATCCCAGACTTCCAGCTCTTGAGTGGACTGCACGGGTCCATTTTGTCCTGCTGCACACACCGGATGCTGCTCTGAGTCCCACTTTGAATGGAACGTGGCTGCAAAGCTCTGCTGAGCTCATGGGATCACAAAGCAAGACACCACACAGAGTAAGAACTCCTTTCTTCTCCCTTTGCACTCATTATGCAAGATCTCTGTACCATGAAATATTGACTACAATAGTGTTGGCAGCAGCTAAAAATACAGAAAAAGCTGCACGGATGCTGAGAAGAACATTTGCGCTGGAATGTTGAAAGTAGTACATCTGAAGCTGGATTCTCATCTTCTCCACATACGAGAACAAACTCCTGATGTTTTGAGTATTCTAGTGCTAAATGAGACAAACATTACCGATGTTTGATTTCACTGTGTCAGCTTCCATTCATGTCAACATGAACATACAAAACTATAAAGCTCAGACCAATAATTAAAGCACATCCTGCAATGTGCATCAGCTCAAAAACAAATCACCAGAAGTTGGAAGATTATGAGATTTATACTAAAACAGATCATCTGCATCTTCTGTGCCACAGTAGGAATAAAACTTTCATTGCTGTCATGACAGTCTCACACTTTTTGTTTTAGCATCTACTTGGTAAAATAAATAATTTTTTAAAAATGACTTACAGTATTGTGCAGAAGTTTTGATCAACCCATTAATTTTCCATGTTTTATTTTTACATATCAAGGCTTTCCTGTTGTATTTTTATGCATTCTGTATTTTTCTTTCTTTCTGTGATGATTGCGGCTATACCCAGATATAAGGACCTACGAGAACAGAGACCAAGACTCAGAATGAGTTTACAGTGTTGATTTACATAGTGAGAAATGATGCAATAAGCCAGGGAGGGGGCTGGAGCCCCGAGGAGCAAAGAGGTGGTTAGAGTCCTTGTAGTCAAGGGTGATAATGTTATTGCGGATTCTCCTTACAATGGAGGTCGGGGTCAGACGTGGGGAGGGTTGACCCCAAATGATTCCAGGTGAAAGAGGTGCAGATGTTCAGTTGAGTGGTGAAGGTGTGGAGGCAGCTGATGAGACACAGAGGAGCTCGAGATCCACGGAGGAGGATTCAGGACACAGGAGGACATCAAAGGTAACTCACTCAAAACTACAAATTATTAATGTTTGCGGGCAGCACGGTGGAACAAGTGGTAAAGCTGCTGCCTCGCAGCAAGAAGAGTTCAAATGACAGAACAGGGGTCTTTGTGGAGTTTGCATGTTCTCTCCGTGCATGCTTGGGTTTTCTCCAGGTACTCCTGTTTCCTCCCACAGACCAAAAACATGCATGTTAGACTGATTGGTAACTCTAAATTGTCTCTAGGTGAAAGACTGATTGGTTGTTTGTCTTGTTTGTCTCTATGTGTCCCTGTGATGGACTGGAGACATGTCCAGAGTGTCCCCCACCTCTCGCACATTGATTGCTGTATATGGGCACCAGTGACCCCCCATGGCCCGAAAAGGAAGAAGCAGGTAAAGATAATGGATGGATGTATTAATGTTTGGTTTTAAACACGAGTAGAAGGCTAGAACAGAACTACCACTGGCAGGTAAAGGTAATGCTTCAGTGCTGGCTGAATGTCTTCTGATGCCTTTTGTGCTCCTCATGCTCATCAAGTCGAAGCTCCACAGGTGTAGCTGGTTAGAGTCTGACTGTGGGTGCAGGAGTTGGCAGAGCAGAACACCCACACTTTCCTCACTTTATTATTATTATTTATTAAAAAAAATGTGGTCTTAAAGTTTGTTGAGTCTTTCTAATATTGCCCAATTAGTTATGTTTTTGAAAATAGATGTGTTTTTATTGCAGGGTTCACAGCGCTTAATTGAAAGGATTCACAAGAGTTAGAGTAAAGTAGAAGGTTGAATGAATCCAGTTGAATAGTTGGTGGGAAGTATTTTCTCAGATAACACACACACGTTTAAATATAGATTCTTACAGATTGTTATGTTTTGCTGGTTTGAGTCAAGGTCTGTACGAGGGAGATCCAGGATTCCAGGTAAGTTTCTCTGATGCAGGCCTCGCAGTGAGAGCAGGCAATCAGCTGATTCCTCTTTGAAATGGTTTTCAGTCGCAGACAACAGAGGACCTCAGAAAGGAGTTTTGTCGGTCTACATTCTCAGGGAGGAATTTTCCAGACACGATCTCTACAACACACAAATTGTAATTTTCAAATATAACTACTCACATAGTGTGTTATTCCCACCTTTACATAAGTGGTACATGCTTAAAAGTGTCATATTTTAAAAATCATAGCACAGCTGCCCATGCTGCACAACACAAAATATATTAAAATAGCTATTTTTATTTGCCAGATTGGCAGACATCTGTCATAAAATTACTTTATTTCACTCAGAGATTATTTTTTTTAAAAAGATTTTAGTTTTCCTGTGATTCCCTGAGCACTTCACACATTATAATATGAAAAAAAAAAAGAGAACCACTGACCTAGGAACAGCCAAGATACTGCTGAAGAGCTCAAGATGGCAGTTCAACTCTAAATAAAGAATTCACCAGTCTTACAAGGTGTTCACTCCTGTAGGGCTGTGGTAGCTCGGTGGTCAGTGCTGTGATCTTGTATTCCTGAGGTTGCAGGTTCAAGCCCAGGATGCATCAAGCAGCCAAAAACAATTGTCAAATGTTTCATGCGAGTTGTCCCTCTGTGAAGAATGGAGCAGCCAAAATAAACTTGTTTTTCACTGTTGCCCAAATATATCACAGTTATTGACGAACGTGTGATTTTGATACTTACGACGTTCTAAAGAACTTTAAAAAATGCAAGACACAATTTCAGCAAATCTATAAGTTTTTACTTCAAAATTTCATTTTAAAAAACATTAAACAAACGCAAAATGGTAGAAGAGCACTAAGAATGTGAATGTCTTCAGGACCACACATACAAACAAAAAACATTTATATTTGATGTTTGTGCAATAATGTGAGAAAGATTAGACATCAGTTTGTTCTCTTCTTTGCGTACAATATAAATGTGACCTCCTCGTTTGAATTTTTTTCTGACAGTCCTGAAAGTTCACACAAGGTTGTAAAACGAGTTCATAAATATGCACAGAGAACAGAGTAGCACTTTAATGAGGGCTGAGGGTGAATTATAGACATCATGAACAGTTAAAACATGACGAGAAGAAAAAAAAAGATCTGAATCACTGGCTCAGCTGATGGAAAATTCTACTTAACTCAGTGAAAAAACTTTAGTGACTGAATCTTTCATTAATGTACTAATGTGCACGTTCTGCCCCCCAGCCTTGTATGGTGGCCCTGAGGTGTAAATGCACAACATTTGAAAAAACAGAATTACATTTGAAAAAATACAACAAAAACACAACAAAGTTTGAAAAAATGGAATTACATTAAGCCAAAGCGGAAGTGGCCAAAGTCGAAGTGGTTGGAATCACATTTGAAAAAACAAAACAGAATTACGTTTGATAAAACGTATTTACATTAAACCAAAGCAGAAATAGACAAAGCGCAAGTGGCTGGAATCACATTTGAAAAAAAATGAATTACATTTGAAAAAATTGAATTACATTAAGCCAAAGCAGAAGTGGCCAAAGTGGGAGTGGCCAAAGCGGAAGTGGTTGGAATTACGTTCGAAAAAACTGAATTACATTTGAAAGAACTGAATTACATTTGATAAAGCAGCATCACATTAAACAGAATCATTCAAAAATTATATAATTTCAGTTTTTTCAAATTCAATTCCTTTTTTTCAAATGTAATTCTATTCTTTTCTAAAGTAATTCTGTTTTTTCTAATGTAATTCCACTTTTTCTAATGTGATTAAGTTTTTTCAAATGTAATTCCGATATTTCAAATATAATTCCATTCTTTTCAAATGTGATTACGACAACTTCCTCTTTGGCCACTTCCACTATGGCTTGATGTAATTCCGTTTTTTCTAATGTAATAAAAAATGTTTCAAATGTGATTACAACTTCCGCTTTGGCCACTTCCTCTTTGGCCACTTCTGCTTTGGCAACTTCCACTTTGGCCACTTCCACTTTGGCTTAATGGAATTTAGTTTTTTACAAAAATTCTGTTTTTTCTAATGTGATTCCGTTTTTTCAAATGTGATTCTGTTTTTTCAAATGTAATTCTGTTTTTTCAAGTGTTTGTTCATTTACACCTTAGGGCCACCGTAGCCTTGTGACCTTAAGCACAAACAGCAACTGAGAAACAACAAAGGTGCCAGGAATGCAGCATCATACTTAACACGTGATAAGGAATTAGAAAAACACCAACAGAAAAGCAGAATAAAACTTTTTTCTCCAAAAATATTCAAACACTTCATTTTTTAAGTGAAATGCATTAAACATACAATATATGTACACAATTCCAGAGCTTTATGCACAGAAGGTGGATTGAAACTTGACTTCTACTTTGCCACATCAGGTTGTGAATTTTGTTCCTGTGTAAGTTTTTAACGTCTTTCCTGCCCTCACCCAGACAAACTGTAACACACCTTCAGGCTGTGATTGAAAGCAGGACCCTTTGGTAGAAGAGTTCAGGAGAGATGGGGCCTTCTGCTCTGTAATAATAATAATAAGAATCTTTATCGTTGCACCATTTCAGGTAATAACCGTACCATATTTGTTACTGTCATTACTGCCCCATTCCACACCATCATCGAGTACAGAAAGAACCCCAGTTGGAGGGTTTTCTGTTTCCACTCCTACGTGCAGCGTCCACAGATTAGCAGCTTTTAGGAAATTGACACTCGTCCACATCAGCATCGCTCACACCCAAATTTCTCAAGTTCTCAACAAAGCAGCTGCAGCAGCAATGAGGTACGGTGTAAAGTTTGTCTGCCACGTTTTTAATCCGTCCTGATGAGCTCCTTTGTTTCCAGACCCGTATTATTGTCCTGTGCTGAATGAAACCAGCAGCAACCTCTGAGATTTGTCCACTGGGATGTGGCAGCAGACTGGATTCGATTTCTGTTCATTACTGTTGCTTTCTTTGGGCTCAGCGTCCATGGATGCCCTCCTCATCCTTGCAGCGATTTAAGCATACGCATCGCCTGATTTCAGCGCCACCAGTTCAGAGTCGTCCGTGTGGCGTCCGTTCAAGTGCTCTGTGTTGCAGTCGTGGTGGTACATGAAGGCGGGGACCTCCGTGATGGAAGTGGCTGTGTAGGACGTGGAGCGCATCGAGCAATGGTCCTTTCTTCTTTGTCCCCACTGGGTTTTGCACTGCATCCACTGTCTTTTTAAAGCTGCCTGCACCTGAATGTCACACAGAGCAAACATTAAGACGTGTGTCAGTGAGATGTTCTGGGTTGTTCACACAAAGTCCCTCACATGCTCAATGCAAATGGACCAAGATCATTTTTTCTAACTTCCTCCTGCAAAAGCATTTTCGTCAGCTTTTGCTCGTCTGCACCACTTTGCCCACAGAATGATTCCAGCAGACATCCACATTTACACACAAATCAATATGTGGTTACTGTTCAAGGTGACAGATGCAGGGCCTGCATGTGTAGCCTCTACTTTGTGACAATATTAATCAAACTAACAGTGGCATGAAGTGATGCATGCATAATTGCTGAAGCATATGTGGAATGCTTACATCTCAGTGATGTTAGCAGATGCTAGCTTGGAAACAAAATGCTCACTTCTCTTGACTTATAGCCAAGTTGTGTATTTGATCAAACGGGCACACATTAAAAGCAGAAAAAAATCTATATATGCAGTTATTCAACTAATAATTCATTATTTCTTTGCTCTCGGGCACTATAAACACCCATGCTCACAGCTGATCTCCTTAATAAAGCTTGAAGACTGCAGTAATAAATGTGATAAGTGATTAAAATATTATGCAACTCCAGCAGTCCCACAAGCAGCAGATCATTTTCTGTGTCAAAGAGAACTTAGCCCATTAATGACATCTCGCCGGAGGCGTTTGACAGAGAACACACATTAATAACCATGTGAACCAAATTCAGTTAATAACATTTCAAAATCTGTTACCACCCTGATGACTTACTGAAAGTCCTTTTATTAATTCCTGCTCTTTTATTGTCAGAGTGACAGTTGTTAACAGGTTTTAGAAAGAATCTATCTGACAGAGAACATTTCGCAAAGATGCTGGCTAAAAACTAGTGTGGTTTTGCGTCACCGACTGAATTTATAAATGGGTACGAATCTTTCATTGTAAAAGTGTTGCAGTGATTAATATTTATTAGCTGGCAACATTTTTAACCCAACCTGGTGCGGTGAACAGAGTGGTTCAGGTAGCATAAGATGTAGTAAATTCATGCACATTGTCCATCAACCACCAGAATTGAAATGCTTTACCCTCCTGAGAAACTGAAAAGTTGCTGGGGAATACTTTAAGTAGCAATGAAACTCTCCCATGATCAACACAAGATTATGGGGAAAAAAATAAACCATTAATTACTGTAGCTCTGTGTGAAAATAATGTGGTTGAATACTATGAGCTTATTAAACCTTGGCTTAATAATCAAACCAAACGTGTTCCAATAAAGTCTACTAAAGTATATATGTAAATTATAAATTATTTGAAGGTGACTTTTAGTGTCAAATCAAAATCAGATAAGCCTTTTGTTTTCTGCACTTGCTCTCGTGCAAGGCGGACGCGCTTTCTTCCCTCTCCCGTCCTCCTGCTCTCCTGTTCTCCTCCTGCTTTTTTGCTCTCTGTCTGTGTATCGGAGCTCCTGTTACACATCTTCCAAACGAAAAACTACGGTCATGGATCTGGTCAGCTGGACTTTCAACGCAATCAATAAAATCTTTTCAACAAATCAACAGGGTTCTGGAAAACCCTCATGCCCCTCTGAGACGCATGCAGCAGGATACTTCATGGGTCTGTGGGGAGTTTGGCAGCTGATGTGTCTTTCCATATTTTCTCAGGAGGACGCCAAAGATGTTTATATAATTGGAATCATGATAGCAGAGTTTCTACTTTATGGTACTGGCAGATTCCTATGTTATCGCCTATTAAAGAAGACGGCGGCAGCAGTTTCGGTCATGGCAAAACTGTCAAGTCTGTGTGAAGATATAGCTCGTGCTTCGAGCACTTAAAATGTCTATTATTGTCGCTGTTGTCCATAGTTATCATCATCCTTTGTTTAAATCAGGTCTCTCTTGTAAATGAGTCCTCAAGGCTCAATGGGATTTACCTGTCTAAATGAAGGTTGAAAAAAAATCAGCTGATTTATGAGCTACTGTATATCGTAAGATGGAAGCTATTTGTGAGAATTGTAGGACACCTGCGGCTTCTGGTACTCGCCAGCATGTTGGGGACGATCTTGGAGGGGGCTCATAAGCACGGACCAGTGAAATGCCCACTAATCTGGCCATTTTGGATCGAAAGTACCAGCAGGATTCAAGGCTGACAAGAAAAAAAACAGTATTCCTGAAAAAAATCAACAGCTGTGGTTTTTCTGAATCTGACTCCCACGGTGGCCTCGAAGCTGGCCAACATCAAATTTCACCTGGGATATGTGTAAACTAAGGAAAATATCTGTCTATTGAACCCCCCCCCCCCCCACACACACACACACACACACACACACCTCCAAAACTTCTGTGAAGGCTTATCAGATCTGTACCAGCTGACACCAACATCTTATCAGGACCATGGTCTATCTGGAAGTGCTTCATGGATAAATCTCACCGTCTTGCCATCAAATGTGTTTAAAAATGTTCTGGCTGGTAGAGTTTTTATGTCTTAAATCGTGTCCTGATAGGACAAGATATGAAGAGATCTTTTTTGTAATACCACTATCCTATCCTCATGGCCTTTTCCTCTTTTCTATCTAAAAAGTATTCTGAAAAAGGATAAGGGGCCGTGCTCTCAAGAAGCAGCAACGTGCACTCCACCCATCTTTCAGACGACTGTACGAACATAATCTCACTGTATTTTGGTACAATGATAATAAAGCTTATTCTGATTCTGTCTATTTGTCTATTTGTCTACCAAGGTGCTTCACAAGACAAACTCCAGGTGACTGATCTACTTTACCTAGAAGGATTTAGCCATGAAAGATTTAAACATTTCTTAAATGCTAAGTTCTTCCAGTGTTCAAAACATGCCACAAGTATGTTTATAATGGGAGATGAGGCAAAAACTATAAAATTATCCTCACACTTCTAACTTTTTGATGTTCAATAGCAAACAAATAGACATCATTATCTTTCCTCACACAGCTTTTCCACAAAATGGGGTATAAATAGAGTTTCATCCTGGAGCTCTACGTGTTGTCATGTGGTGTTGTCAGTTTATGAAATGTCATTTTAATACAAGTGTGGCACTCAGAAGCATCTGTGCAGCTTTTTGAAAATCCAAACAGATGACAAAATTATGTCACCTGAACCTAACTATAACTCTGGAGACCAGCATTGGCAGAGCGTTTGAACAGGATACACTAAAATAAATGTTCTACAACGTTTTGCTGGATGTTTCTCTTAAACAGCCCATCAAGGAAAGCTGAGTGGTAAATGGTGGTCCAAGCAAAAATAAATAAATAAATAAATAAACTGCTGAAATGCTACTTCCTATTCTATACAGGTGTAGCATCCATCCTTCCAAGAACTTTAAGACAAATGTCCTCAGACACTACGTCTACCTTACCCTCTCCTTTCCTTGTAATCTGGGACAAATACTGGCATTCTGTTTCCACCACAGGAAGTTTCTTTGTTTATCCATTCTGTGTGTGTGTGTGTTAAAATCTATAACTGGGACCACCATGATGTATTCACTATATGATGAATAGTTTAGACTTTGAGTCTCCCGAAGAAGGTCTCCCAAAGAGCTTCACTTGGCTTTATCAACAGAAACTCAAGTTGTCATAGTGATAATGGGGGAAGTACAACCTCAGTTGAGCAGAACTTCAAACCCATTCTTTGGTTAATGTAAACAAGGTGTCAGTAGCTATGTTTACATGCGCAAATTATTTGACCGGATTGAAATGTTTTCAGATTAAATAATTCAAATGTATTGTTTACATGGGCACAATCTGTTCATGACGAGCGTTTACATGCAGCAGGCTCTGTTCTGAACAGAAGTACTAACATGCGCAGAGTGGTAAACTGTCCTTAAAAAAACACAGAAGCAGAAATCCTACTTCCAGTTTACTTCCGGGATGAACGTAAACAAACCTGAGCACCCAAAATGGACCCGCGACAGGTTTTAATGATGGTGGAGACGTTATTGCACTCCCTGACTGAGCTGCAGGTAATACATATCATTTTGAGCTCTTTCAAAGTTTCTAGTGGAAATGTTGTGTCACTCACCGACCAGTTTTGCTTCCCCGACATGCTAATATTATTAGCATTAGTCAGGCGGAAATGACATAGGTCGCACATGTGCAGTCAGGTCAGTTTTTCACAATCAGAAAAAAATGAATGGATCAAGTCCAAAAAAGTTCAATCTGGTCCTCTGGACATTCAAAAAAACAAAAAACAAAACAAAGCATAAAAATCTAGAAACGTTTCGTCTCTCATCCAAGAGACTTCCTCAGTCTGAGGAGCTGTATTCAGCTCAGTCTCTTAAATAGCACCTTCTCAGAGTGGATCAACCAGTTTGCTGCTGACAACCAAAACCAGCTGCTCACATGCTCAAGAAGGACCATCAGCCTAACAATGGGTCATTAGCACACTGATGGCTGTTTACTGTTCACAGAGGGCTGAGTGATACTAGCAATCACAGCATTGTAAGAGGGGGACAGTTGAACCCGGAGGCCTCCACCCCTGTTTAACGATGGACGATTTCTTTTCACAAAGATGGCCTCCTTTACTCCTCTCTCAAACCATCGTTCCTCTCTATCCAGGATGTGCACATCGTCATCCCTGAAAGAGTGACAGCTGGCCTGGAGATGAGTGTAGACCGCAGAGTCCTGGTCTGATGATGTTGATCTTCTGTGCTGGTCCATCCTTTTGGCCAGTGGCTGTTTAGTTTCCCCGATGTAAGACTGATCACAGCCCTCCTGACACTGAACAGCATACACAACATTACTCTGTTTGTGCTGGGGGACTGGATCTTTGGGATGAACCAGTCTTTGCCGTAATGTATTTTGGGGTTTAAAAGCCACTGGGACGTTATGTTTAGAAAATAAACGTCTCAGTTTCTCTGATACTCCCTCAACATACGGAATGACCACTGGTCTGGGTCTGGGTTCCTCCTTTTCACCTGATGGCTGACTGGAGTCCTGTTTGGGTTTCTTCTCTGCTTTTAGGAAGGCCCAGTTAGGATATCCACATTG